GGAACCGCCTGATCTCCCTGCACACCGAACCCCAGACGCGGCAGCGGCTGACGGCGTGAGCCGAGATGAAGGTGTAGACGTGATGGAAGATAGCGAACATTTCACGACCCAGCATGCACGGGTGAGCACAGTGACCCACACCCGCTTCCAAGCTTTGCCGCTGACGCGGGGCCGCCGAAGGAGCCAGAGCCCTGCGGCCCTGAGCAACTCCAGCTTGCGGTCCGTGGGGACGACGAGCCTCTCGGCCCGTGACCTCATAGCCCAGCGGGACGGCGTCCACGGAAGGCAGATAGATCTCGTGCACCACGAAGCCGACGCGCCGGAAGTGGTCGACCAGCTCGTCCGACAAGGCCCCGGCACGCTGCGCGTCGGAGCCCAGGACGTTCAAGTTGTCGGCGCAGGCGAGCAGCGCCTGCTTGCCATCCGACATGTCGGGGGCGGGCCGCTCGTCGCTCAAGATGTGATCCACAGCGGCGGCCTTGCTCCACATGGACTGGTGATGGACCACGCGCTGGGCAACCACATCGCCCAGCTCGAGCCCATCGGGGCCACCGCGAGGCAGGGCGACACCAGGCTGCCCTCGGGCAGCGATGCGATGTCGGGCGGGAGCCCTGCACGTGGTTCTCAGCAAGGACGCGTCGACCGCGGGGAGGCCAAAGAGCTCAGACAGCTCCTCCGCGATGGCAAGGTGGTAGAAGTAGTTCGCCAGGTCCGCCTGCGCGGCGTAGACTTCCTCGCCCTGCCCGTACTCGAGGTCCGCCAGCTTGCTCCCCGACGACATGTTCATCTTCGGGCACCTCGCGAACCTCGCATTCACTGCCCAACAGCCCCACGCGATACGCAACTGCCCAGACTTCTTCCGAACGAAGAACGGCGCGATGAGATCCTGAGCGTTCGTCGAGTACCTCAGCATGTCGGCACGGTCCAGCCGGGCCACGAAGTCTGCATACTTGCCAAGGTCCGAGGCGAGCGTCGGGCCCATGTAGGGGACGACCGGGGCCTCGCTCTCGCAACGCTGGCCGAACTCATCCTCAGACAACATCATACGCGACAGAAATTCCCGAAGGCAGCGGGCCACCACGGGGTCGAGAACATCAAGTGCGACGGGGGGCTGCTCCAACTCCTCAGGCACCGCGATCAGTATGGCATCATACCTGGCCGCAGTACTTGGGACCTCTCCGCCGTCGTAGACGAGGTCGGAGCCGAGAAGCTCGCGGGTGGCTTCTCGCCGCCGAAAAAAAGAATGCACTCCTGCGGGAAGAGCGCGCCTCAAAACTGCGCGCTGAGCCGCTGCCTGGGCCGCGCTCCTGTCCGCCCGTGGCGGTGCCGGCGACGAGGAGGAGGGCCCGCCGTAGAGCTCGTTCAAGGTCTGGAAACTCTCGTTGGCCCGCAGCCCCTCGGCATGCTGACGTTGTAGCCGCTGGCGAACTGAGCGAGAAAGCTGGGAGGCGCCCGGCGTCGCCTCGTCGAAGGTCGGGAGCGGGAAGAATTCCCTGGGCACGCGCCGAGCCTCGCCACCCTGAGACGGAACTGGATAGCAAGGCTGGCGAGCGAGGGGGGCAGGCGGGCCCCGTCGCCGCCCCCGCGGCCCACGCCGCGTCATTTCTCGCCTGCGGCTTTGGCAGCCGCCGCGCCCTGTCTTGCCGCGACCTTTGGCCCTCGCGTCGGTCTCCTCCCGCGCCTCCCTAGCCTCCTGCAAGATCACCGACTCCTGCCTGAGCTGGTCGGCGACGTGGGCCGAGAGGCAGGGCGCGATGGCCGCGCCCCCCGCGCGGCGACTCCAGCCCATGAGCTGGTCGGCAGCGCTGTAGTCGGGCTGGCTCGGCGAGACTCGGCGCGCCCCCGCGATCAGCGCGAGACGTCGCGAGGCCAGCTCCATGCACAGAAGAGACGGGCAGTTCAATTGATCCTGCATCGCCGCTGCGTCGAGGATGCGACTGAGAACATCATGCTCGTAGATGCTCCGATCCCCCGGCGGCACCTTGGAAAAACGCGCCCAATTCTCGTGTGAATGGAAGGCACTGATGCCGTTGCCCCGCCCGTGCTTCATGAACCAGAGGACGGTGCGAGGGCCCTGGAGATCCCAATGCATGTGCTCCTCCGACGAGTGGGCCAGCGCGTCGTCCCATGAGCGACGGCGCTCGCCCTGGACATCATATCTGACAGCCAACGTGCGAGCATCACCCATGGCCAGCACCAGCGCGTCTGCAACGGAAAGCTGCGCCACCGCCACAGAGACGCCAGCCACGTGGAGGAGGGCGCGGTCGCCGAGAACGAGGGCGCCGGGCGGCAGCTGGTGGCAAACGACGTCGCCCATCGAGTAGCCTCCACGATCCTCCACGGCGCACCAGCTGAGCCCAGGCGGAGGCATCAGCATGCCGCCCGGCGCGGCCGCAGCGGCGGCGGCGCCTCCGCCAAATCCAGGCGGGATGCCTAGCGCGGCGCCCGCGGCAGCGCCAGCGGCCGCGCCCGCGGCGGCGCCGCCCGGGGGCAGGAGGCCTGCGCTTCCTAGGGTAGGCGGCGCCCCCCTCGCGGGCACCAAGGCCGGGGCCGCCCCGGCTGGCGGCGCGGCATCTGGTGCTGCGCCGGCCGCCGCGGCCGCCGCCACATCTGCATCGCGGGTTGAAGTGGCGCACGAGCGGCAGCGGCACGCAGTGCACACCCAGGTGGTGGGCCCCCAGCATCGCGAAGGCGTCGATCATCGCCTGGGCCGGCGCCGCACGGAAACCGTAGACCTGTCCAGCTGCGAGCCCAGGCGGCACCTCCCTAGCGTACGTCAAAACGTGCACACTGACGAAGTCGAGCCCGACGGCGCACGACTCCAACTAGTGGTCGAGATCGGGCGTGAGCCCATTTGCATCGAAAGACCCTGGGCGGACAGCCCAAACCAACCTCACATGATACACGGCAGGGCCCGGGACACCATGGTACTGCACAATCACATAGCTCCCTGAATCAAGCGCCATCACGCTCGAGATGCAGCACCGCGGCTCCACACGAAGGACAGCTGCGCCCGAGCCTGCTCCTCAAGCGACGGGACCGTCTCCTTCACCACGACTGTCGGTCCCGCCTCGTACGCCGAGCGCCGCTCGACGGTCGGGAGCCCCCAGACGGCACCGAGCACGTACGCGGCGACGACCAGCAGCGTCAGCACCGTCACCCCGCCGGCCACCGCCAGCGGCGACGGTGTCTCACAGACGCAGGTGGTCGCCGGCACAGCGGGGCAGTGCAGGACTGGGGCGCAGGCTGGGCACGGCTGGCCCGCACCCCACAATGTCGCCCCAGTGCTGACCCCGCGCGCGAGCTCAAGGATCGTGGCGCGGGCTACTTGCATAGCCCGAACAAAACTAGAGCGATCGTGTCAATGGAACGATGGCGATAGGACGGCGGTGCTTCGACACCGTAGACAACATTCCCGAACAAGCACATCCATGATGATGATGCTGATGATGACGACGATGACGATGACGATGACGATGCTGAAGGAGGATGATGGGGGGAGGGAGGAAGGAAGGAGGGGGAGGAGGAGAGGAGGAGGAGGAGGAGGGACGCGCGGCGCTGTCTCTTCAAAACGATGACCCAACATCACAGGTGCTTGAAACATACTCAAAACATGCACCCAAAATAACGAACAACATTCAATTAGCCTGGCGAAGGACCCAACCATACGAAGTTGTTAATACCGTCGTTGTTAGTATCGCCTTCGGTGGGTCTCCTTATGTGGCCACGAAGCGCGTGAAGAGTGTGCCAAAATGGGGCAGTCCGGAGCTCCCTATGGGGCCACGAAGCGTGTGAGGAATGTGCCGAACGGGCCGGCGCCGCGATGTGGACTCCGCCACTGGGGCCTGAGCTGGAGCCCCCTATGGGGCCACGAAACGTGTGAGGGGTGTCAAACAGGCGGACTGCGCCACTGGGACATTCTATGGAGCTCCCTATGGGGCCACGAAACGTGTTAGGGTTGTGCCACAGTAGGGCGGCGGCACCATGCGGACTGCGCCACTGGGACCCTGGGTGGAGCTCCCTATGGTGCCACGAAGCGTGTGAGGGGTGTGCCAAAATGGAGCGGCGCCGCCTTGCGGACTGCGCCACTGGGACCTGCGGTGGAGCTCCCTATGGGGCAACGAAACGTTTGAGGGGTGTGCCAAAAAGGGGCGTCGCCGCCATGCGGACTGCGTCACTGGGACCTTAGGTGGAGCTCCCTATGGGACCGAAAAACGTGTGAGAGGTGTGCCCACATGGGGCGTCACCGCCATGCGGACTCCGCCACTGGGGCCTGAGCTGGAGCCCCCTTATGGGGCCACGAAACGTGAGGGGTGTGCCAAAATCGGGCGGCACCGCCACGCGGACTGCGCCAAAGGGACCTTAGATGGAGCTCCCGATGGGGCCACGACACGTGTGAGGGGTGTGCCAAAATCGGGCGGCGGCGCTATGCGGACTGCGCCAAAGGGACCTTAGGTGTAGCTCACTATGAGGCCACGAAACTTGCGAGGGGTGTGCCAAAGTGAGGGGGTGACGAGAGGAGGCAGGAGGGGGAGGAGGAGGAGGAGGAGGAGGAGGAGGAGGAGGAGGAGGAGGAGGAGGAGGAGGACGAGGACGGAGGGAGGAGGAGGAGGAGGAGGAGGAGGAGGAGGAGGAGGAGGAGGGAAGGAGAGAGGAGAGGAGGAGGAGGAGAGGAGAGGAGAGGAGAGGAGAGGAGAGGAGAGGAGAGGAGAGGAGAGGAACGCGGGGACCGCCTCTTCAAAACGAAGACCCATCACCTCAGGATGGTTGGGAAAGCAGCGTCCCCAGACGATTGCGTACAACTGTCGGATATTCCGAGGGGCATGCCCGACTTGAGCCTTAAGTTTCCACGTCAGGCAGAGGCGCTCCTTCTCCTCCTCCTCCTCCTCCTCCTCCTCCTCCTCTCCTCCTCCTCCTCCTCCTCCTCGATCCAGGCGGCGAAGTGGCCCGCCCCCCTCTGCCTCGGCGGCGCATGGGGGCCGTTCGCGCCGCCTCAGGTCCTTAATGCAGAGGCAGAGGCCGTCGTGGGCCCAAAGCCTCGAGAGCGGGCTGGCCACGCTGGCGCCAGGCAGGCGCACGCAGACGATGCTGGCCTCGAAGGCGTCGCCGCGCGGCGCGTCGGCGCCGCGGTCCGCGCCTCGGCGCAGGCGGGCCTGGATCTAGGTCGGGCGTGTCCTCCTCCAGGCCGATTCTGGGTGCAAAGGCAACACTGATCAAACGATGATCAAGAAAGGTTCAAACCCTCACAAAATCGTCCCTGGACCACGTTTGGACCACATTGGGATGTTCTTCCTGTAGAGTCACAGGCCCGACTTAAGCCTGGATCATCGTGGCCCTCCCCACGCCGGCGCTCCAGGCGGTCCTGAGGAACTCCTGGACGCGTCTCTGCTCCTCCTGCGACGCCGCGAGGCTCGCGAAGCTCGAGTGGAGCAGGTCGTCCATCGCGAGCAGCTCCAGCATCTGCGGCGTCGACTGCACGATGTGGCCCGCAGCATCGCAGGCGCCCGTGGCGTCGAAGATGGTGCTGAAGACGCTGTGCTGCGCCGACAGGACCTGCTCGAGGCTCTCGCGCGCCTGCTCGAGCTCGCGGGTCAGCAGAAAGCTCCTCTGGTTCGCGGCGTCCACGCTGCGATGCACCAGCACGGACACGGTGGCAATGATCAGGCCGGTGCCCACCGCGCGACGCAGACCCACTCCCAGACCGACGTTCGCCACGACCCAGAACAGCGCATACAGCAGCATGTGAAGACCGCCGCTCCGAGCGTAGCCCACGGAGGAACAGACGAACACGCGGGCCAGGTACCCCACATAGAAGATTTCCAGTTGGTGAGGCTCGTCCTCACCGCATGAGACTACAAGAGAAACAACAGAATTGAGGAGAACGACGACGATCTGTATTCCACACGATTCCAGGTTGGAAATACGGTATGATTTGTCCTCCATTTTGGATGCGAAAAACTCTATAATTGCCTTACTCGCGACACATGGAAGCATGTTCCCAAACATTCCCAAGAGCGACCTGGAGCCACACAGCCATTCAATGATGCTGAACGAGACGATTATGGTCCCGGTAACTGATTGTATCCCGCGAAACAGAGAAAGCGTCTCGCGCTGTCGCGTGTACTCGTACTCCCTGAAGATGTCTGGATCGTGGATCACCCTGTGACTCCAGGGCTGGATGCGCCACCGAACCCGCACCACCTGCTGGACCTTCGCGCCGCTCTGGATAGAGAAAGAAAAGACGCCATAAACATTAAATTTTGGCGCTCCGCGCAGATTTCTTGGATCTGCGCTGCAGCCCCCTCCCTGGCGTGCGGAGCGCGCCAGGGGCGGCGCCGGAGGCGCCGCGGAGGGGGGCCTCCGCGCGGATTTCTTGGATCTGCGCTGCAGCCCCCTCCCTGGCGTGCGGAGCGCGCCAGGGGCGGCGCCGGAGGCGCCGCGGAGGGGGGCCTCCGCGCGGATTTCTTGGATCTGCGCTGCAGCCCCCTCCCTGGCGTGCGGAGCGCGCCAGGGGCGGCGCCGAAGGCGCCGCGGAGGGGGGCCTGGCGCGGATCCAAGAAACCCGCGCGGAGCGCCAAAAGTGTATGTTTATGTTTATGGCGTCTTTTCTTCTCTGACTGGAAGAGGAACAGCCACACCTAAGTATCGTTTCGCCGATCCCCATCCTCAGCAGCGTGGCCTGGGCCCCCCTGGCCGATTTTGCCCCCCTGGATGGGGATACATGTGGCCGCTCCCTTCGGGTCCCGAGGGGTGTGTCCCCAACTGGGGTGGTAACTTGGTGGGGGTCCTTGCCGTCGCTCGGACGTCTATTTCCCGTGCATTTTTCAGTTTCGTGCGTGTTTTTTTGCTAGATGGTCCAGGATGGTCCCCGATGGCTCTCGCCGAGAAAAAATGCACACGTCCGAGCGATGCCGAGGGGTCTCGAAGGGGATGGGGCTGGGGATGGGGATCGGCGAGACGACACTGAACACCTGCTTCCACGCCGTGCGGCCGCGCGGCGGCCCAGCCGGCCCCTGGTGGCAGCTCGACGGGGCCTCCGCTCTGCCGGAGCCGCCGTCCCGGCCGGGCCTGCGGCCGAGCATGTGCTCCGCGCCGCCAGGCGGCGCCGCGGGGCCCGGGCGGCGGGCAGAGCTATGTGCGAGGCGGGGCGGTATCCAGGTCCACCGGCTGGAGGACCGACGCCCTGGGACCACGGCAGGCTTTGGACGTGGGCATGTCTCGGCCCCAGAGGGGCCGTCCATTTGGCAGGTGGATCTCGCCGCCGCATCTGGCGGTGCGCGCTGCGAGCAGGAACGCAGCAAAGCCACAGGAAAGCGCGGCATTCACAGAGTAGCTCCGCACACGTGACACATGTTAACGAGCAGGAACACACCCACGTCCACCGCCTGCCGAGGTCCCCGACGATCGATGCACCAGGCGGTGGTCATGGATCACCCCCTGTCTCGACGGCTGCAGCCAGGGGAGCTCGAGCCGAAGCGGCTGCGGCAGCAACCATCTTTCTGCCCGTCTTGGGGAAACCAAAAGGTACCGCAGGAAACCCTCGCAAGAAACCCAACCTGAAAACCCGCGCGCGAGGTGCAACTGAGGGTCAACCCAGAGCGCCCTGAACGCAGCAGCTGCTTCAACTGCTGCAGGAAGTCACCGCGCAGCGTGCGGAGCAAAGAAACCCAGGATGCCCTGACGAAAAGCAAATGGTTTCTTGATGCGCGCCCCCACTGTACCGGTGCTCCCCGGTCTGACAGGGTGCGTTCTGACCAGAATTTCGAGGCGCATGCAGCGGTGGCGACGAGGGCCTCCCGGGAGGCCCAAAAGGGGGGGAACGGGCGAATGGTAGAGGTATGGGTACCATTTCCTCCTCGGAATCTTCCTGCCCATCTGGTCCAAGCCTCGGCCCGGCATCTTTGAATCACTCTGGCAACCATCCACCAGCCCAGGCACGTTAGCGGGATAGGCCGAAGGCCACTGGATAGAAATACAAGCATAAATCACGCAGCACCAAGAAGCAGCAACAGCGACTCTCTCCCAAGGGGTCGGCGGTGCGGCGTAAGTCAAAGAATCATCAACTAGCCTTGCGGCCGCGCTTATCCAAACCATCCACTATCATTGGAGCTCCGAACGAGGGCGCCCGTGCTCCTCCAGCCAATCGTCGTCTACACTCACCTTTTTACGTGCTTGTTCGCGCTCGGCACCTTCACCTTTTGCTGCCTTCCCAGGTTGTGTCCCAGTCGGCACACGTGGCCACTTCATGACCGCCTTGAGCGCTGGTGGGATATTTGGGGTTTTCGGCCGGTCGCCAGCCATGGCCGCCTCGTGGCCGCCTCGCTTGATTGCTGCACCTGGTCCACATAGACTGCACCACGCGGATTACACCACATAGATTCTCTTTTCTAAAAGAATAATAGATTCTACCCCCCCCCTGGACTTATCGCTTCCCCCGCGCGTGCTGTAAATCACATATGATTCTGACCACATGTCCATCCTAAATATGAACTCATACCATCCCAGCCAAGCCGGTATCCCCCCCCCCTGCGGTTCCCTGTCAAATAACACTATGCGGGGACATTTTTCCTTCTAACATAACACTTTTTCGCGAATCCCTGTCAAATAATACCATGCGGGACACATTCGCGCGCGCAAGACGAAATCCTTCCAAAACCTTAGTGTTCGTAGCGATTTTAACATAAAAACATCAAACACCCAATGGTTTTTCAGAAAAAAAAAAAAAGTTTCAAACATTCACCCCGCGCGCTCTTGCGGATTCCTAGGAAACCCACTACTTTTTCAACATTTCTGTCAAAAGGGCTCTTGCGAGCAACTTTTTCCTGCGCTTCGAACTTCTTCAACAACGGCTGCGCGCCTGCCAGGGGCATAATCCTTGTCAAATCATGCCATGCGGGACACATTCGTTTTTTCCTCGCGCGCGCGCCGAAATCTTCAAAAACCATTGGGTTTCTGGAGCATTTCAGCACTGCGTATCATAAAAACACACGAATCGCACCGTAGGTCCTCGAAAAAAACCTGCACGGATTTTCAAAATTTTGCCCGCTCGCGCTGTCCGAACCTTAAAAAACCAATGTTTTTTTTCAACATTTCGGTCGCACGAGCTCGTGCGAGCTACTTTCGCGCGCTCCTTCAACGACGTTCGCGCGCCTGCCAGGGCCACTGTCCGTGTCAAATAATACCATGCGGGACACATGCGCGCGCGCCGTCGTCGTCGTCGTCGTCGTCGTCGTCGTCGTCGTCGTCGTCGTCGTCGTCGTCGTCGTCGTCGTCGTCGTCGTCGTCGTCGTCGTCGTCGTCGTCGTCGTCGTCGTCGTCGTCGTCGTCGTCGTCGTCGTCGTCGTCGTCGTCGTCGTCGTCGTCGTCGTCGTCGTCGTCGTCGTCGTCGTCGTCGTCGTCGTCGTCGTCGTCGTCGTCGTCGTCGTCGTCGTCGTCGTCGTCGTCGTTCGTCGTCGTCGTCGTCGTCGTCGTCGTCGTCGTCGTCGTCGTCGTCGTCGTCGTCGTCGTCGTCGTCGTCGTCGTCGTCGTCGTCGTCGTCGTCGTCGTCGTCGTCGTCGTCGTCGTCGTCGTCGTCGTCGTCGTCGTCGTCGTCGTCGTCGTCCGTCGTCGTCGTCGTCGTCCGTCGTCGTCGTCGTCGTCGTCGTCGTCGTCGTCGTCGTCGCGGCGGCAAGGCGGGGAAAGGGGGGGCCCGAGGCTCGCGAGAATCGTGGTTGCGTTGGCCCGGCGCCCGCCCGCAGCTGGCCCGGCGCCAGCCCGCGTGGTCTCCTGCTGGATCGAAGGGCTTGCTAGTCGTCGTCGTCGTCGTCGTCGTCGTCGTCGTCGTCGTCGTCGTCGTCGTCGTCGTCGTCGGGGGGGGGTGTTCAGGAAGCGACGGTAGCCTCGCGCCGCGCCCTCGCGGCGGTGTCGCGGGCGCGGGCTGTTCAAGACCGATGGCCGGCGGCGACCTGAACCAGGTCAGCCTCGAACGAACTCTGGTGCCGGAGAGCGGGGGCCGCTCGAG